AGATCATGGGACTCCCAAAACCCCACTCCAGACACTCAACAAAAAACCCATGGCTTCCTCCTAACTCAAAGAAAAAAAAAAGTTCCTACTACAACAAAGTCATGAATGATACATAAAAGCCACAAATAGAGCCTGGAAACAATACGACCCTATGGCCCGTGCAGTAGGGATGGGAACATCCCCACACTTTGTCTCTTCAGAACAAAGCCAGAACTTTTCCTGTGGCATGTCCTTGTCTGTTGAAGTGTTCTTGCGTTGGGCAACCAGGTTAGCCAAGACATCTCACCACATACACTTTTAATGCTAGTCTTCTAAAGATGAGGGAAATTGTGTGTGTCTTTCCAAGAAGACACCCAGGTGCAGACGTGCAGGAGCACAGTGCTTTACTGACCAGAAGACAGGCCAGTATTGCACAAAAGGAGCTCCTCCCTTACAGGTACTGAACAACTGTGTATGCAGCAAGTGGGTCAGAAGAACAGGGCACAACCAGCACACAAAACCAGGCTGCCTTACAAAGCGGAGAGGGCCCAATGCCCCTGTGCTGTGGGAGGTGGGGACAGCACTCCTGCTCCAGCTGTTAGCTCTGGGGCACGGGTCATTGAGGGATCCACAGCCACGGCCAAGCTTGCACACACAGCTCTCAGGAAACAACAGGAGAAGGAGAAAGACCCTGTGCCACCATCTTTGAACTGCACCGTCTCTCTGCCTTTCCTGTCACCAGAATGGGTGGCTTACACAGCCTGCTTTGTTCCATCAGAGGGCTACTGAGACTGCTCCTGCCCACCCTGGCTGTACCTACAGCACTGTTCAGGGAGTGGCCTGGCTGCCACAGCAGCAGTGACACCCACTTGACACCAGCGAGTTTCTCTGGCAGGCCCAGGCTCCCTCCCTGCTCCCCAGGTACTCATCAGGTACTTACCAGTCACTACAGATCCAAAACAAATCCCAGTCCACAATCCAATCCGTGGCTTACTCCAAAAACAGAGAAAAAATTTCACTATTTCCTCTGCTGCTTCCACCTCCTCGTGCCTCATGTCTTTGCTCACATGATGGAGGGCTTCTTTACAGCTTCTTTACAGCACACAAGCTCTTTCATCTCTACCATGATCAGAACAAGTCAGTGCACCTTTGCTATTTCAGTCTCTTTTAAACTGGGGTGAGCTGAACTTTCCATACAAAGGTTTGACCTCTCCTGAAATCCCTTGATCAGCAATTTCCCGTGCTTGCTCTTTCATGTTTGAGGCATTATGAAACGCTGGAAACTACACATTCTTTCATAAGGAAGTTAGTGAGAAAATTCAAATAATGAACTTGGTCCCAGGAGACTTAGGGTTTCTTTCCAAGTTTGAAAGCTCTTTCCTAACAGAAGTTTTGCTCTTGAAAGTCTTTTGGTTAGCAGGCAGCTGATGATACAGTTTCTCTGGAGCCTGATTATACTTTCAGCCCAGGGGTAAGTAATAAAAAAGCCATCCCAGCTCTGTGAGGTCTGAATCAGGTGCTAACACTGAACATCTGCTGTGGCCTTTACTCTCCTCCCCCCCCCTCCTTCCATGAGCTGGGCACTGGAGCATTCTCCATTTTTATAGCCTGTGGCAACGAAAGGCCGATTTAAGAGGGAAGGCAATGCTGACAACATGATTCAAAAAAGCCAGACTCTGCTTTAACTGCTCTCTGTCCAGGACTTTGGTGAGTCCAACACCCCTGTGACATGCTGAAAAGGTCTGCATTGTATGGCAGCCTTTGGAGGCAGTGCCCAGCAAAGCACCCGCAGCCCGGCGCGAGCGAGACACACAGACGCCACACGTGCCTTTATTACTTCTTCCAGCCAGCCTGCTTATTGCACAGGAACTCACTGTGCCACCCAAGGAGGCCTTCACAGATGTTTAGAAAGAGCCATGTAAACACAGCTTGAAAACATGTTTTCTATGTACTTTGGATACAAACTCGTGAAGCACCACGCCGTGCTACAAACACACACACACACACGTGTGCACGCCCATCTCCATACACATGTGGACACAGACTGAGCCAACTGCCACAGCAGGTGGTGACACGCTCCTACATCATCCTTCTGAGACACCCAGTGTCCCAACACAAGCCTTTCCACCACTGAGACACCAGTGGACTTGGGCTGAGCCATAAGCCATCATTGGAGCCTTCAGCTGCTGCCACTGTGGGCCCGGCTTCCCCTCCCTGGTTGCTCCTTGCTGCAACCCACTGATGGCACCCCTCTTGAGTCAGTAACCCAATATCCAAGCACACCCAGGTAAGCGCACCAGCGCGACTTGGCAAAGACGTAAGGGTCGGCATACAGTCAGATCTCCATCCTGAAGTGTCTCAGCAGGGAAGGGATGGGCTACGTCTTCTGGGGTGCCTGGTCTAGTGGGGCCCAAGTCACAGGTGTAATGCTTGGGCACAACCATCATATATATATAAACCTCTACAGCCTGGAAACTTCCATTCTTCTGTTCTGCAGCAATAAAGGATCAATGGGCCTGTACGTGACAAATGTATGTGGGGCAGAAATCATGACCTCTAGAGAAAGACTGCAGCACCTGGATAATGCCTCCCAGAGGGAGTGCCCACTACAGTGAATTTTGCACCCAAGAGGGAAGTTTTATGCCTTTAAGGCAGAAGGTTCATCAAAGATCTAAGGAACAATTTCTGCTAAACGCTGTGCTTTCATCAGCAGAAGGCCACTGCTGCTTGCCATATGAAACTCAGAAACCTGGTACTTGGGTCTTTCTGAGCAGCAGCTGCTGAATCCCAGCACTGCTCTTGAGCAGCTGAACCGAGTAAGTTACTGGCAGTTGTGTTTATTCCCTTTTACATCTTGCTTGTGTAGACTCCTTGGGCGTTTCTAGTGAGAGACCCTGACTTGCTAACCTGGCATTGGCCACAGAAGATTCCTGTAGCTTTACTAATTTCTACCGTAGTGAAACAAACAAACAAACAAAGTAACAAACTAATGGACTGCAGCCTGCAGCTTTCCAAAGGAAGAAATGACAGACTGTAGCAATGTTTTCAAAGCTTTTTCTCTGTGAGTTCAGTTACTCTCCCTCAGGAACAGACTAGCCCCGTAAAAAGAGTCAGAGCAGCTTCTCTTGCTCATCTTCCAGTGCAGAGAGAACTGTTCCTTCCAGCCTGACAGCCACAGGTATTGTGAAACCCAAGGGCTCGGCTGTGCAGTCACTGCAGACTTGTCAGTAAAGCATTTATTCTCCCTGAAGATGCAGAGGGTAAAAGCTGGTGTCCTTTCTGCACTAACCTCCCTGTCCAGGAATGTAACAAGGCCCAACACTAGACAGCAGAGATGCTCTGTCCTTGGCAAGATATGAACCAGCCTTGGGGCTCCAGAAGACATTTTTTCTGAAGTGTCACAGAGGAACACACTTCTAAAGCTCTGACTGAGCTTCATGTCAAACAGAAGACTGACAGAATCTTCATGGTGTTTCTCCATGCAAATTGGAGCAGCCCTTTACAATGACAGGATCAATGTGAGATGTGGTCTTCACATGCAACAAAAGAAAAAGGATACTGACAGACAAAGCAGCAATGGTAAAACAGCTTCAAATTCACTCACATAATCAGCCAGGTGCTGCAGAGCTGTCATGCATGTATCCTGACAGTCCTTGCTCTTGGAACAGTAAATACACTTGAGCAGCATTTGCCTTAGTGGTTCACATGTCACAGCTCAAGAGACCAGCGTGTCGAATCACTGACATTCCTGGGAACAAGGAGCAGATGAGGGTGTGTCCCTGTTCAAGAGGAGGTGCCATCTGTTCTGCACTCCAGTGTGCCACGTCTGGCTATGCCACTACAGGTCTCAGCAGAGAGCCAAAGGGCAGAACACCGAACCACACAGCAACTCACATCCACCGTGACACCTCTGGCCTATAAAAAATCATGAAAACTTGGAGACCTTGCATATTCCTCTGTAAATTTGACCTTCTTCTCATTCCTGCCACAGGAAACCATTGTTTGTCAGACTCACAGCCCGAGACTGAGAAAAGCTCATATAGTCAGCATGACAGACTCTAGAGAGAAGATTTCTCATGCTAGAGTTTATAACCCAACCCCTCTCATCCCTGCACTTGTATGTGGGAATGGAAGAAACAGGTAAAAACATAAACGAGATCATACAGGTTATTTTCCCCTAAATCAATAACATTTATACATTTTTAAGACATTTCCATTAAAAAAAATTAAGCATGGACAGTTCTACAACATAAACAGGTACAAATCCCTTTGCCTAGTACAGCTAGGAAACAGTCCGTGTCTCATCAGAAGTGGAAGTTCACAGCCAAGTGTTTTAAAGACAGCCTTTATATTAGTGTCTTGATTGTATTAAACTCTTGGTACTTAAATAATAATAATATCTAGACAGCACAGGCAAAGTATAGCATGATACATAAGCATAAAAGTGCAAGATGTAACTTAAGTCAAAGTGCCTACTGGTCAAACTTCAAAGTGTCTACTGGTCAAACTGGTATAAACTGTGTTTGGAGATCAAGCATAAACCAGACTGAGAGTAATCAAGGCCCTTTTCTTTTCCTCTAATTTCCATCAGAAGTCATCACAGATAACATCAATCCAGTCTGAAGTGACATCAGTTCCAAAGGGGTGTATGTGAGAGGAAAGCCAAGCTCACACCTTGATGGAAAACTGATCCTCATTTCCTCTGTGTAATGCCAATTAATCCACAGGCTTTGCTCTGAATATCTGAGCAGAGAGAACAGTAACTTCGATGCCACATGCAAGGGAGGCGTTCAAGAGGCTCAACAGAGATGTAGCACTTAAGAAGAGGGGGTACAGCGAGCCCTTGTTAGCTCCTCTGGTGTCACATCCCCCAGCTGATTTGTTGATCCCAGCCGTGAGAGATGACTACGAGGATGTTCAGTAACACTGCTCTTCATTGGAAAAATAAAAAGATTACCCCCACAAGTATAATTTTTTCCATTCCTGTTTGTCTTATTGTACAGTTTCAGAGGTAAAATATCTTTTACAGTATCAGCTCTTTATTGTGTTCATTCCCTTTAAAGGTAAATGGAGTTTAAAAGATCTTGTCACCAGAAGGGGGTGAGATGGGAGCAGAGGCAGACCTCTTATTAAACCTTTAAAAAGATCTCCAACTCATTTTGCAAGTGAAAACAACAAAAGCCATAAAACTCTAGCGAAGGCGCTGTCACTGAGATTAAGCAGATCCAAACTCCGCCATCCATTTTTCATACTTCTCCAGGTCTGCAGCAGAAACAGATTTGGAGATTTTCTTCAGAGCCAGCTCAAAGTCCCCCTTGGTAACGGGCATCTGAAGCTCCTCTTTAGAAAGTGCACGAATCTCTTCTGGAGTTAGGCCGTTAATACGTCGTCTCATTGCCATTAAAGAGGCATCCCTGGAAACACAGGACAGTGTATGGGAGCCAACTGCCAGCAGCATGTGCTCCAAGCCTATCCATGGGATTGTATTCTCTTGCTAGAGACCACTGGCAGGGACATTTATTTACCATAGAAGATGGCCTTTCCTAGCTTCCACCTTCCAAGATCACTACGTTAATTCAATGTAAAGAATGCACTGGCAACAAAACCCACTTAAGCATATGGTAAATGTGCAGAGATAATTAAAACCATGAAATTGAAAACCTTTTACAATGATTCTTAGAGATGAAATGTTACAGCTTCAGTGCAGGAAAGGGCAGGGTGGGAGAGGAAATGCACTCAGAGATGTCTTTTTTTTTTCAGGTGTTCAGAGTGCAGCCCAGCAATGTTGCCTGCTCACACAGAGCACGGGCAGAGCAGGAGGCACCAGACACTAGTGTCATGTGGCCCTGCAGGGCTGGGGCCATTGCTCCTCATGCTCCACCTGCTCCCTGACTCCTCCCCAGCTCACATGCTGCCAGCCTGGCCCACTGGCATAGACAACAGTGCTCATTTCTCACACCACAGCCCACACGCAGTCTGAAATTACATTTTTTCTTTCCCCAGGTTTTTCCCAGCAAGGGATAACACAGGCCTCAGGGAGAAGAGGTAATTTAACTACTGCACTGCGTGACACACACCAGGTTTTCAAAACCATGGAGTCATTTCACAATTTCAGCAAAGCAGCAGGGGAAGAAAAAAAATCCCAAGTCATGTTCTTAAGGGATCAGCTTGTCCTGGCAGGGATCCTGACGTTATAAGGAACACAGACTTCCTTCTGACAAGTTTTTTCAAATGCCTATCCTCCACCAGAAAAGACTCATTTTTCAAAAAATGAAACAAATAGAACAAACTGTGGGAACAAGATGGAAATAAATTCAATACTAGTACTATAAACTGTCTGCATCACCTTTGTACCTAGAAGATTCAGACAGAAACCAAGACTGCGCTGCACTGGGGGCTGTTCAAACATACAGCATATAGAAGCCCCAAAGAAGTATTCTGTGCAAAAATTCATCACAAAATTCTAGCTCTTAAACTCATGGGGGTTAAAAAACAAACAAACCCAAACAAACCTGTTTTGCACTACATTAACAAATGTAGACAAGTGCAGTAAATGCAGCCAATGGTAACATCAGATTTTTTTCTCTTCAGAACCAAGAAAAATTAACCACATCTCATAGAAAGACTCCATGGTCTTTAGACCACTCCACATGACAGTAACACGTGGTTCCAGTAAATAGATCTGGGCCTCAAAGACAGTCGCTCTTTGCATGGCCTCAGCTATAGTGGGTATTGCCTTTTATCACAGAATGCAAACAAGGACTTTCCATGCAGTTTTACTTGCAGATTAAAGGGAATGAGATACCTGCAAACATTAGTGATGTCAGCACCAGAATAGCCTTCAATCTTCTCAGCAATTTCTTCAAGGCTGATATCAGGGTCTAGTTCTACTTCCCGAAGATTAATCTTCAGTAGTTCTGCTCTGCCTTTTGCTACAAAATAAAAATATTTGTTTACAGACTTGCAAGAGTAATATTAAAAAAAAATATAAACACAACATTTTTTTTCAGTGAAAAGTACAAACAAAAGGGTTTAATATAAGAAAAGGAATAGATAGAACAAATCATAGTAAAGTGTGCAATCAAATACAGTAAGTATATGGTTAAATGCAGTGTATGAAACCAGCATGCTCTAGAGATGTTTTCCAAAGTCACACGTCATTGACAATGTCTGCCATGGCTCAGGTGACAAAGCATTTGGTCACACAGTACCCAAGGGCACAACAGCACAATCCTACAGATGTCTGCTTCTTCTCACACCCCTTTGGATTCTCTCGCTGTTCAGGTGTTTGATTGTGTATTATCCACACAGTTTCATTAGAAACACAAGGAGGATTCTATTAACAGAGTTCAGACAGCACAAACTCCTTAACAAGGGGTTGAAATTGAAGTACATGTTTAAGCACTTTACTCAGCTGGGACCCAAGAAGGCTGCTGAAGCCTGATAGAAAACAGATACATTAAAACAGTAAACATATATTAATATATTTACAATACAAATGTCCTGGTATCCCACTTTCAGATCCAGCTGCAGCATGCACACAGTGATAACCAGCAGTGCAAGCAAGCACTTGCACAGCCAGTTAGCCCCTGTTCTTGTAGAGGGCATGTGCAGAGCTGCAGTTGGGTACGTATGTCAAGCAGCCCAGGCTGGTGAGAGGGAACTCAGGTTTGACAGCTTAGGCCCCAGTGGTACTCTGCACCAGGGTGGTGAAGAAGAGGACGGACGCTTTTACTGCACACAAAAATATACCAGCTCAGCATCTTTATTTCCACAGTGACTAGTTTTTATGACCTAGAAAAGAGGACATGCACAACAGAAGTAGTAGGAGGAAAGGCTAAAAGTCTTAAGGAAATATCCATACTTTGGGATATCAAAAAATAAAACACAATTAATTATTTTTTTTTTCGAGAATAGGGGAAATAGAAAAGAAATTAGAAAGCTTGTCTAAAGCTGCACGTTTTGCGTGCTTTGCATAACTGTCAAGCATATAGAGTTCTCAATCCCCCACAACTGGCACTAGCTCTAAAATGGGGATTTATGTACAGAGCACAGTGTACACACGGCGCACCCGCAGAGCGCGTCCTGTACCAAAGAACATTCCTCTGGTCTTTGCTAGGGGCTAAGCAAGTCCTGGCGGTACTGTGAAAATGAAACACAGCAGAATAGATACTTGCATCAAATTCCACAGTATACAGGTGTATATATGACATACCCTGTCACTTTTTCATTTAAGCTGTCTGACCACATCAGATCACGCAGCGGATTTATACATGTGCCATTTAGAGTTGCCCAGAACAGCTCAACACTCTGATTTACAGAACAGATGCAGCGGATCATAAGATTGGAAACAAAACTCGAGCACATCTCATATGTTGTCCAGGGTGTAATACACTCTGTCAAAAAACAACCTAGACTAATTAGAAACAAGAGCAAGATCTGATAGGATTTTACACTAATTGGTCATAAAGACAGGCATCCTGTTAGGAGCTGTTACCAGCTGTAAGCTGCACAGACAAGCTGTAGAACTATTTAGTGTCCTTATACCTGCTAAACTCAATCACAACTGCTGTCACCATGAACACAGAGCTTGTTATCTTGAGTGCTCACGCAGGGAGATGAGGCATCCACTGCACCAAAAAAGAAACGAAGCTATAAAAACTTCAAGTGATAGGAACCTCAAAATTAATAGGACAGGCGAATGACAGCTAGGAGAGACAACACCAGGGGAGACGTCTCAGGGCAGGAAAGCCATCAGCCTGCTGCATCCTGAGAGACTCCATGCAGAGGCATAAAGGTGAGCAAGCAGGGATTTACAATGAACTGAGCCTGTAAGTGAGAATTCACGGATCCACTTCTTTGCTTGTGTCTGCAAGGGCACGGAGTGCATTTATAATATTCCTGAACATATCCAAAGGATGCCTTTGATGATCACTCAAGGACTGACTGTCAAACATTTAAAATTATTCCAGGCTCATTAAAACTAACTCTCTTTCAAAATGTAAGAACCCATCAATTGGCTTGCAATGAAATGCTGCAGCTCTTTGTTTTTGAGCCCGCAAGCAAGTAGTATTTTTTTTCTTTCTCTCTCTTTAAAAATAAAGTGATCCAGCCAAACAATTAACCCCTGAATTTCACTGCTCATCACAAAAACGTCAAGATTTCTCCCAAACCAAATAGTCCTGCGGCAATCCTCAGCTTGCCTTGCAAGGATTGTTTTAAAGAGAAATGCTTGTAGCAAACATACCTGTGGGCAAAGGAATATAAATCCTCTTCTCCAGTCTCCGTCGGAGAGCTTCATCGATATCCCAGGGAAAATTTGTAGCAGCTAATACCATAACCATCTTGGAAGGGTCATCATTTTCCAAAGCACCACCTACCCCTGCAAGCACAACAGTTTAGAGCAATTTTACTACACAGTTCATATTGATTGAGTTGCTTGCTAAGAAACCCTGTACAAACCACAAAAGCCTGGACAAAGCCAAGCAATAGCTCTATCTAGTCCTAGTGTCCCTTTCCAGACTTCTCATAGCTTAGGTATGACCACACCATCCTGTCACAGACAGGGGGACAGCCCATTCTTTTGCTGAGTCAGGGGAGGGCTTTCTCTGACAGTGCTAATAAGAGTCATGTGTGAGCACAGCCTTACTAGTCCTACCAAAAATGCCATCTCTGTCTAATCTGGGCACAGAAAAAAATAGCAATCACTCCTTGGCCTCCCAAATGAGGACTGCAAAGAAGTTACCACTTTAGGGCAAAAGGTTGCCTGCCCCAAGTTTACCACAATGAACATGCACATTTGAGGGCATCATGCATAGCAGTTAAACAAAAGCTGTGATACAGAGGTGGTTACCAAACCCCCCCACCACACAATGCTCCTCAGATGCTCAGCCTCCTTACGTGTACTTGAACAGAGTAGCTGCTAAATCTGACTAAAAGGGTACTTTTAGCTGCCACCACACAATACAGCAAAATCCAACCTCACTCTGGAGTCCCCAGGCTGCAGACTCTAACAAAGGGGTGAAATTTGTTTAACTTGCATTGAAATTAAAGACTTACACTGAACTGCACAAATCTCAACTATCTGCTTCTTCTATAGTCTGTCTCTTAAATATTTTTCAGTTTATCATCGAAATGGCCATTTTAGAAAAAATAAAGCAGAACATCCTTTTCAGTTCTCTGCCTTTGAACACTCCAAAAATACACTACTCCCAATCTGCCTTATTTTCCTCCTAGCCCTTAAGCCAGGTTTTCCAGACTGCTCACTTTCTTACATTGCCACCTGTAGAGGAACAGCCCCCCAGCCCCAAACTCAGGATCTAGCCACTCGTTACCATCCATTTGCACCAGCAGCTCTGACTTGACTCTGCGACTCGCCTCGTGCTCGTCGGACGTGCCTCTGCGGCTGCACATGGAATCGATCTCGTCGATGAAGATCGTTGTCGGAGCGTAAAACCTCGCCTGCATTCAGAGGAAAACACCACTGTTAAGGCTGCAGCACCAAGCACAGGTCCTCATCGGGTCACAACCCACTCCCACTAGACATACTACAGACATATGTTCCCTGCCTCTCACAAGGAAATAATTCAAGGTCTTGATTTATAAGCTTCTGGCATATGCTGAAGGTTATACACTTTAAATTGTACTCCTTAAGTCGGGGCTCTTTCAGAGCTGGTTGCTTTTCCTCAGCAACCAGTCTTGCAAAGGGGAAAAGGAACACAAAGTACAGGCAGTTTTCATCCCCAGGTTTTTGTGCTGGTGAGGGGTAAGTGCAGGGACAGAAGGCAGCTCTGCCTATCTCAAGAGAGGCAGATTTTAACTGAGAGTATTGTAAAAGTGCAGGGAGGATGCCAAACAGGTGAATGACTCTTCAGTACAAGTCGACGTAGGCATGTCCTTCATATACCCCCCATGACAGATCACACCCAGAACTTCACCGAGAGGCTTGTGTCCATCATTCAGAACAGAAACAGAACTAAAACACATATTGTTTCTAGTATAACAGTTCCTAATCCCTTCCATTTTCAATTCTCCTCCCTATCGGCTTGTTATTCAGCAAGAACTGAATTTCTGTCACGGTCACACCACTACATTTAGCCTGGAAAATGCTATTCTAAACATGAGTGATGAACCATTTCCTTTTAATCCTCAACAGCGTGCCAGAAAAGGATGGAAACACAGAGATTACGTTTGTCTAACTGGTTAAGCAGGTGCCAGTTCAATGAACTCTGTGCTTCCACCATGCTACTGGAGGTGCAGGAAACCAAGAGAGCTGTCCTTTCTCACCTTAGTGATCCCCAGATCACATCACCGAGGACGTACCATTTCAAACAAGAGGCGGACCAGCTTCTCAGACTCGCCCCTGTATTTAGATGTCAGGGTAGAGGAGGACACATTGAAGAACGTTGTTCCGCATTCGGTAGCGACAGCCTTCGCTAGCATGGTTTTGCCAGTGCCAGGGGGACCAACCATCAGCACACCCTGACAGGTGAAACAAAGGTGATGAACAACAAATACAGAAACTTTGCAACTGCTGCTCTAACGCTCATCTCACTATGATTCAAGACCTGTATTTAAAGGGTTTAATAACATAATTGTCAGCAGTGGAAAATAAAGACAAGAAGTCTGCTTTCAAGAAGAGCGTGGAAGTGTTCTGTGGTTTCTTCTTACCACTCCACTGGAGTATGAATCACAGCTGCTGCACCCAGTTGCTGCATCTATCACCTGGGATGCAGACAATAGATTTACCCATTTGCAGCCTTGCTCTGAATCAGGCAGAGTCTGGACTTTAATTTAGGCCTTTCCCAGCTCATGAGGGACTGCACAGGCAGACGAAGACAGTGATTTCCTCTTCGTAGAACAAAGGCTCCTTTCACAAGAACAAGAAAAAACAGAATACTTTTGCAGAAAGTTGTCTCCCCTCAACAGAGCATTTTTCTGTGGAAGAACATCTGGCAAAAAAAATCCTGATGAAATGTGTATGAATCTGGTTGCTTTTTTACATTTATGTACGCACAACAGCATTCCCTGAATACAATGGTTTGTCATACTGCTTAATCTCTCCAGCTCAGCACTTCTGTGGCCATACTGCTGCATCTTAGCAATTCCTGGATGAAACATCATCCTCACCACACTGCTGGATGGCAGAAGAGCACTGCTATTTCTATCTTACAGATAAGCAGCTGTGGCTCATGTGCACTACCTGTCAGTCCCACAAAAGCCTAACATGAACCTCAGTGATGATTCAGAAAGCTTTAAACTAGAAAACTGCACTACAGTTGTTAAGTCCCAGCCTGGCATCCACATCATAGAATCATTTAGGCTGAAAAAGACCTTTAAGGTCATTGAGTTGAACTGCAAACCTAACACTGCCAACTCTGTATCATCAGAGTGTCTTTCCATCCATGGTCTACCTGAAAGAGAGAATATGAAGCACACATTTCTGCAGTTCAGCACATTCACCCATCATTACGCAAGCAGATTTTTAGCTAGACACACAGTGCTCCCAAGACCCATGTTAAGACTGAAGCACTGAGACTGGTTAATAATTTTTTATAACATTTCTAAATACAGTTACCTTTATGGATAGTCTTTCCAACTCCTTCAGCAGCAGTGCTGGAGAGGGAAAACACATTGTTCCATGCCTGCATAGCACTAGAACAGGGACACTGTGATTTCAAGCATAGCCCTGTGAAAATGTAGTGCTTGGGCAGCCTGGGTTTTTATTCCCTCCCAACTGCAAGATCTTATTACATGCTAACAGGAGTTTCCTAAAGTAAAGTTGTACTGTGTTGCAAGGGTAATCAAATTAGCTAGAATTAGAATTGCACATCATGATGTGCTTTGCAATTAATAACTTACAGAAAATGCCACAGCAATAAAATACCTGTTAAACGCAAGCTACATAGCAAATTAGATTTCATCTGCTCCTCACAAAAATGTACTTCAAAAAGCATGAAGAATGACATGGAAGAGATCTATAAAAACAAATCAAGCGGGAACATAATTATTCAAAAATGTACTGTTCAAAAGCAATAGTCTCTCTGTACTCCATTTTCCATTAACTCTTAATACCTTTATTGCCATTTAACAGTGAGCTAATGCAAGCTCAACACACATTCATCGGTAAATTAAGTTAGAAATGTTCACACGCCATCCACTCGGCTAACAGTCCAAAATCACCCTTCAGGCTGCCCAAGGCTTCCTCAGATCCAGAACAGCAAGCATAAAAAGTAAATGGACCCTTTTTCTCTCCCTTTTTCAGACATATCCTGTGATTTGAGTTGCTGCACAGTCATACTGATATTATAATAATATTGCAGGTACAACCCTGGAGGATTGGGTGGAAATTACTCAGCCTGTGATAGGCAGTTCAGAGATGACTTACTGTTCTCTCCAAGTTTCAAATGTGTTTATTTAGTATTTTAAAAGAAACTGCACCTCAATTCAAGTCACACTTGACCCCAGTGTTTGACAAACTGTGTTTACCACAGAACCTGGTAATACAAGGGGCTAACGTAATTTTTTTTTTATATTGCTCTTGTCCTCCATTATTATGGAAGGTCAAAGTCGTGCTTCAGTGACACATGCTGCTCACTGCTGAAATCAAAGCCCCTCAGTCTGCACCACCTTGCACGTGATATTGGCGGCGTCTTACATGTGTACAACACAGGTGCTAAGCAGCCTTACCAAGTGAAAATCAGGGGAAAAACAAGCTCTCTGGGCACAAAGATGATACAAATATTTGTTTAAAAACAAAAACAAAAAACCCAACAACTTAAGTCCTCGTCAAAACAAGATGTGCATCATTGCAAACAGAAACACACAGGATCAAGTTGCTCTTTCTCTCTGCAAACTAGAGGCTGCCACTTACTCACTAGCTAAAATCCTTGACAAACACAAAGACTTCTTTATTCTTCCTCTAAGGCTCTGTTAATCCAAAGTATTCCAATAAGAAGCTGAAATGCACCACAGGGAGTAAGTGTTTTGATGAAATCGCTGCAGGGTTACTTCTTGTTGTTGTAACAATCACTAGCAGAGCAGTGGGAAGCACAGTGAGCAACTGGGCCTTTTTGGCACAAAACAGTTCAGAGAAAAAGAAAGAGCAAGCCCAGGGACACTCAGAAACCCATGGCTGGAACTACACAGCACCTGTGTTGAACAGGGAAGACAGCTGGCTCCTTCCTGCAAGGCACCGTCTCCTGAATGCAGCCACAAACTGTGAGGGCTGTCTTGGGAATTGTTCTCAGTAGAGCCTGAACATCCAAAACCAGATTTGGCTGCCTTTTCCCTGAATTATTGTCCTGAATGCCTAGGCTGAACAAATGCCTGCTGTTACACTGATTACTGCAAGAAACAGTCTTCCCTTCAAAACTTCTCATCCTTGTAGCACAGTCAGAGGTCAACAGTAGGGAAAATACATGCTGTTCCATGTGAAAAATAAATTCAGGAGAGTTACAGCTTCACAAACCACCAGGGAAAAGGCTAACAATGAAGACTCTTCATGGACTCGTCAGAAATCAATTTGCATTTCAGACTGAAGAGAGGAAATAATCTTAGTTTTTTTTTCCATGCCTACAACCACCTAGTTTTCAGAGGCGACACTGCTCAACAGGAAAAGATAATCCTAGGCAAAGAGGTGGAGGCTGTAACTCTTGTTCAAGAGATCAGGCTGTTGTTTCTCTACCCACTGCCACAACACTTGGAGACAAGGCCAGTGGCACTCTGCACACTCCCTGCAGTCTGCTGAGATACCTGCCTTAAAGATAGACGGCCTCTACATTCTCTAGGCATCTTAACAGGTGAAAAAAACCACAGCAGCTCTTCACTGCTTTACAAGTTTTTGAAGTTAGGACAGACAGGCCCCCCATAGTCTATAATAAGGGTATGGATCCACCTCCTCTATGTCAAATGGAAAGGAGAGAGCTCCAGCTGTTCAAAAGGCACTAAAATCTCACGCTACACTTTTAACCCACAATACCTAGGCTCTGTTAGCTTGGTTAACCTTAAGGTTAACCTCAAGGCTACTGGTACTGACCACAAGCACACTAAAGTCTAAAGACCACCTCGCCTGGGGCTAGGTTAGGGCTGCCTCCCTGCAACTCACTAAAACCTCCATGAACAGCCCTCAAGCAGCAGTCCACAAGCTCCTACTGTCAGCTCCCACTCTTTCTGATTTCCTTTCTTTACTATCTTTAGAGACAAGCCCCAAGAATGACAAGTCTTGCACTCATCAGTTTCCACAGGGCTTTGTTTTGTAAACAAGCAGAACAACAGGGATCTAGGACTGGCTCAGGCTGGAGGAGGACAGCTCCGAGGGTCAGACCAGAGTATATGCCAGAGAAGTACACGGACCAAGTAGGAAAAGACTGGGTGAGTGTTAGTAACACAGAGTCTGAGGGCTGCTGCTGAACCAGGAGCACACTAAAGCATGGAAACTACTGAGGCACAGGGCAATCCCTACACATGGCACTGCCTTGCAGGCTCCAAATAACACACAACTTGCAACACTGTCTTTGCCCAAGTAATCCCTCTCAGTAATCAAAAAGCCCTTGTGTTGCCACAAGTTACTCCCCAAACAAGTATCAATCCATTCCACAACAAAAGGAAGATAATTTTATTTTCTGTTTACAGAAATGCTCAGCAACCTCTTCCCTCCTCTTTCTTTCCAGCTCTAAGCAAGGCCCACATTGGGTTCACCTCTGGTCCTTCAGCCAGGCCAGCTCAGTCCCATATCCTTCCTGTTGCCCCACTTGCAGCTCATTCTCCCACATGGAATTTCTCCCACTCCATCAGTAACCATGCCTAGCTGCAAGTCTAACTGCAAAGCTAAATCATCACGCAGACTAGCCCCCTCTCTCCTTGCTTCCTTGCACCATCCAGCCCGCAGGCTGCAGTCTGAGGGACAGACAGCTGGCACATGCAGAATGACATGGTCTGAGGACTACCTTCCCTCATGAAGTGTTGAAGAGTGGCCACCATAATCCTGTGCAGAGCTGTCTATTAAGCATTTCTGCTTGTCAGTATACCCTCTATGCTCGCTTGTATGTATGGGCCGACATACAGAAAGTATTAGAATGTCAGGAAGCTATGTCTGAGTAAACACAGAAGAATTTTTATGTACTGTAAAGCCTGCACACACTTCCAGCTGCTTCTTTAAGTGCATTTTACATGAATCATTATGAGAGTATGTAATGAACAAATTCCTGATCTTTCCCACTTGACTTTTTGGCTTTCTGCTGCAGGCATCCACACACATTACATCACAACATAACTGCAGCTTGCCATTTACAAAAACATCAAGCAAATTCCCACCTTCCAAGGTCTTCTGATCCCTCTGAAAAAATCAGGCATCCACATTGGAAGAACGACAGCTTCTCTTAATAATTTCTTGGCTTCTTCCAAATCCGCTATGTCATCCCTGTGCAAGATGAAGAAACCTGTGTATTGAAGATTCCTGTACAACACTATTCCTTTTATTCTTATACAAGAAAATCAGAAAAGCTTTTCACGTTGTACCATTTCTTTTAGCATGCCAGTATACACCTCATGAGAGCACTCCTATAGTCCTGTGACCTAAAATTGAATCCACTTTTGGAAGGTAGGGAAAAAATAATTTCCAACTCAAGTTACCCAGAGATGCTTAATTAAAAATTGTTTTGGACAATGTGAACACCGAAGTGGTATCTTTAAAGCTCTCCAGAGTGTACTTTCATTCCAGTGGTACCTGTAACAGATCTACTGCTCGTAATATCAGTTAGCAACAAAAGCTTAATTGTAATCAAATTAATAAACTGTTAAAACCAAAAGACCTTGTTTTGCTTATCTGTAGAAGATTATGATGGCTCTCCATTTTAAGGGTTAGAAGAAGGATAATTTCTCTCCTCCACACTAGCAAAAACACTTGAATCAAGAAAATGCTCATACCAATGAATGCTTGGATTTCTTGATACGATGTCTCTTTCAAGAGCTTCAACCAGGTCTTTGTCGTAACCTGCTCCATCAAATTTTGGAATTTCCCCATCACCAGCTTCCTGGGGTGTTTTCT